CCCCTCCCCTCTCCTCTCTCACTCTTTTCCTTGTGCTGTTTAGGACTCAAACCGAGGGCATCGCTCACGATAGGCCGGCACTCTGAGCTGTAACTCCAGCCCTAGATGCATGTATGAGTTTTACATATACAGGGTTACTTAGTTATATCTCATCTCACCATATTCATGAAAAATTTAAGGCACAGAACTGTAGTTACAAAATGTTGACTATATAACCACGTGAAAGGAATCCCCCATGTTCCCCACCCCCCCCAACCCCATGCAAGTTTTGGAGGCAGGATCTTGCTATATAATCCAGACTGGCCTTGAATGCACAATCCTCCCGTCTTAGCCTTGCAAGTCCATTGTGTGGTGTGGTGTGGTGTGTGTGTGTGTGTGTGTGTGTGTGTGTGTGTGTGGTGTATGTGTGTGGTGTGTGTGTGTGTGTGTATGTGTGTGTGTGCACACGCGCGCATGTGTGAGCTTGAGGAGCTTGTGTGGGTGGAGGTTAGAGGGCACCTTAAAGAGTTAGCTTTCTCCTTCTACCATGTCTACCATGTCAGGCCGGAATACCACCCTCAGGTGGTCAGGCAGGGCTGCAAGTGCCTTCACCCGGTGAGTCGTATCTCTGCCGCCCCCCCCAAGTGAGTTCTTATGTTCCTCTGCTTACAACAAATTTCAGAGTTATTTTGGGCAAGTTTTATTATCCCTTGTGACAGATGAAGGCACAGGTTCTAAGAGCTGACGGGAGGGTTCGAAAGTCCCACGGCAAACAGTGGCGGGAGCAGGGCATGCAGTAAGTTCTTCGCAACTCCTTCCAGTTCCTCTATTAACTCCCGTCACCTCCATATTCCTTTGTGGATGCGGGGGTGGTGGGGTGGGGTGGTGGCAACTCCTGATAAAAGGACGGGGTGGGGGGGGGATGAACTCCTTTTCCTCCCCCAGGAATTTCCTTTAGAGATGTGGCAGGAAAGAAGGACAGACGGAAATGTAGACCACAGCTTATCTTCAAGCCTGTTCTTTTGATTCAGGCCTTTGAGCAGGGCTCTTTGAAGAAATGTTTTCCCTTATCTCCCATCAGCCCCAGGGAGCCATACAGGCCTGGGTCAGGGGGATGCGGTAGGGTAGGTGTGCTTTTGAAGTCCTGCCTCCTTTGCTTGTTCTGTCTTCATACATCAGTCTGGGCATTCATCTTTGATTACTTTCATCCATTTAGGTCTATATGTTTCTTAGAAACTCCCCAATGGATGTTGGGGATCAGACTTAGGGTCTTGCCCAGGCTGGATAATTGCTCAGATCCTCAGCCCTGAAACTTCTCTCTTAAGCTGCAAACATTGCCGGGAGGTCTCTCGCCCCTGGTAACAGCCAGCACTCCAGACCGTACGGGTTGCAGAGAGGGCAACATTTACTGAGCACTTACTGGATGCCAGATGCCGCTCTGAGCACCTTGCAGGTACTAATTCGTTTATTTCCCGCAGCAAATCAATCAAGGGGGGGGTACTACTGTTATGCTTTTCTCATTATCTTATATGTGAAGACACTCAGACCTAGAGAGGTTCAACAGTCTGCCAGGTTACACAGCCAGGAAATGGCAGAGCTGATATGCAGGTAGGTGGTTCCTAGGCTGCTTGTAAAGGCAGACCTGAAGGGGGAGGGATTTGCCGAAGGTGTGTGTGTGTGGGAGGGGGGCTGGCGACAGGGGGGGGGGGCGCGTGGGAACAGCAGGACACACTGAAGACAAATTACTTTCATAATTTTCTAGAGGGTTGCTCACCCCTGCCGGGATTTCCCTTCATGTTGAGAAATGAGAAGTATGGCAGAGAGGAAACTGAGGCCGGGAAAGGCGTGAAGGAAGCATTCATCCATCTGTTTAATTGGGTTGGATTGATTAATTCAATGAATCATCCCCTCAATGACTCTTTATTGACCGCTGGGTAGGTGTGGGCCTGAGGCAATCCCCAGAGGGTAAAGTTAAACAGCTGTGTGGGAACCCAGGCTCCTGTCTCTCTGATGTCATTCAGCATCTCAGGAAAGGGAGGCAGACTTCTCCTCCGAGCATCACGTGCTCTTATAGACTAAACAACAGAAAACTGAGGAGGTCCGATCTTCACTCCTGCTTAAGGTCTCTTGTAGTTTAAATAGGAAATGTAGCTAAAGACTCATGTGTGGAAGGTTTGGCCTCAAGGTGATGTTCAGAGGTGAGTCTTTTGGGGAGAGACTAGATCATGAAGACAATGATTTATCAAAGGTTTTAAACGTGTGTGTGTGTGTGTGTGTGTAACTGGGGTTACAGGTGGTTGTGAGTCACCCAATGTGGGTGGGTGCTGGGAAATGAACAGGGGTCCTCTGTAAGAGCAGCAAGCGCTCTTAACCCCTGAATCATTTCTCCAGCCCAAACCAAAGGTTTGATCAGTTGATGAACTCATAATTCTATGGCTTTTTTTTTTTTTAGAAGGTGGAGAAGACTAGGGGGCAGAGGTTAACTGGAGAGAGCAGGTTCGCAGAGACTCACCCTATAAGGGGATAGCCTGTTCCCTCTCGTCCATTCCTTGATCACTCCACGTCTTGGCTACCATGAAGGCAGTGCCTTTGCTGTGCTACATGTTGTCTGGTCTTAATTCAAACCCGGAGTGAAGGGACCAAGCCACCAAGCATGAAAACCTTTGACCCCATAGGGCTTCAAAATAATTTTTCAAAATAAATCTTCCACTCTGTTTATTTTGTTTTGTTTTGTTTTTTGTTTTTGTTTTTTGTTTTTGTTTTGGTCACAATGATGGAATACTACCACTATCTCTTAAGTAACATGCATCCTCCCACCCCCCTTTGGGGACAGCATCTTGCTATATATAGTCCAGGCTGGCCCGGAATTTTCTTATGTAGTCCAGGTTAGCCCTGCAACTCACGACCCTCCTCCCCCAGACTTTTAAGTACTGGCTCTCTAGGTGTGTGCCTGGTAACTCAAAGATAAACTCAGATTTTCACTAAAACACTGTCTGGGGGTGCAGATATCATTCTTGGGGTGGTTGGACACCTCTCCCTTACGTATAAGGGGAATCAGTAACAGGAGCAGAAGGACTACAGTGGGAAGCAGGGACCATGCCTACCCCGGTGGTCTCCTCTCATTTTGCCTCCCTGTGCTGAATTACCAACAACTGGAGGCCACAGGAACCAACGCCCCCGGGAAGATCTGGGTGGGTGGCAGTCGGTGCGCATCTCAGGTGTGCAGAGAGGGTATCACCTGCCTTTGATCTTTCTCATGAGATTTGGCCACGAGGGTAATGATATTTGTATGATCTTCCCTCCAGATTTGGTCAGTGTGCCCCTCCTATAAGCCATCTAAGACATACAGCTCCAAACACAATCATGCAAACACACCAAAAAAGGAACGCCAGGTCCGTGGGCGTACACCTGAAATCTTGGCATTCGGGAGGCTGAGGCCGGAGAGTCTTGAGTTTGAGGCTGGCCTGGGCTATGGAGCAAGATCATGACTGAAAAAAAGTGAAAATAAAAATAAAAACAGTAGCAATGATAGTTCCTTAAGTAATGTCTTGATAATTGCAACTAGTATCTGATTAAAAAAAAATGAACCGGGCGGTGGTGGCGCATGCCTTTAATCCCAGCACTCGGGAGGCAGAGGCAGGCAGATCTTTGTGAGTTCGAGGCCAGCCTGGTCTACAGAGTGAGATCCAGGAAAGGCGCAAGGCTACACAGAGAAACCCTGTCTCGAAAAACCAAAAAAAAAAAAAAAAAAAAAAATGAATTGTGAGATGTCAGAAAAATTCAAGGAGTATTTATTTTGATGTCCTTTCCTCCAGCCTCTGCCTGGAAAAGGACTCGAGGGCCAGGGTCTCAACAAAACCTATGTTAAAGTAGAGAGGCCATTCAGAGTAGGGATGTATGTATGTGCTTTAAAAGTGGCTTAAACTTGCTTTTTGTTGAAAAAAAAAAAAGTTTTATTTATTCATGATGAAGTGCATTCCCACGGCACAACCTCCTGAAGTTGAAAGGTGGGGGGTGAAAACCTTTTTTCTAGCCCTTTGCTCCCTTCCCAGTCCTCACAGCAGTGACTTGGTCATGCTCTTTTCTGAGGCTGCTCATATGTTAGCAAGTAAGTATCTCTCCCCCCTTAATACACAGTGGAACACAGCACACAAACTATTCTGAGCTTAAAAAGAATGTGTTTTAGAGATCTTACAATGAGTGTCTGTGGCTTATTTAATTTTCCCAGTCTCTTTTATGGCATGGTTATGTCATGTGCCTGAATTTATTTAACTAGTTCTCTACCGATGGATATTTAAACTCAGTATTTACATTCAGTGCCTGTTTGTGTGTCTGCGAATGGATTCGTGGGAGTCTGAAGCAGGGTGATCCCTTGAACTCCACTTGGTCTCTTTACCTTCAGTCCTAGGCCTGGGGTCCTTGAGTCCTTGGGCCAAAGCTCATACTTCATGATGGTGGGAAGAAGAGTCGGTTAGGGCCTCTGGGTAAATTGAACTCCAGGGTGTCTAAAGTTTCAACAAGAACCCCAGTTCCCACTGAGTACGCATCTCTTGCCTGTCTGTCTTACATGCTAAAGCACGTCCTTTAGGAATCGTCGGGTCTAGATCTGACGTTGATAGTTAAAACACGACTGCTTTATGTTAAACTGTCTGCTTTTCTCGTCCATTTCCTGAAATAAACCAGCGTACAAAGGACTGAAAATTAAACGAATCTCCAAACAGCTGTTCGTCTATGTTCTGTTACTATAATGGAATATTCGAGGTGAGGTAACACATACTGCAAAGAGGTTTATTTAAGCCCATAGTATAGAGGCCAAAAGACTAAATGAAACGGCTCTAGCACTCCATGCTTTATGACATCATGGCAATAACATGGGTGAGGAGAGAGTACATGGTTCTACCAGAAGCCAAGAAAGACAGGAAACCCATGAGAACTGCATTAATCCCTTCTGTAATCATACAGTTCCAGTGACCTTTTAGCTCCCACCTCTTAAAGGTCCCATTGCTTCTTAACATTATCTCGCTGAGGGCCCCGTTCCCAGCAATAAACAATAAACCGTATCTAAAGACAATAAACCATATCTAAACCACCCCAACAGCCAGACTAGGAAAGCCACGGTCGTTAAAAGCTGAGTAGAGTGGGACCCTTTCTTCCCAAGCAACACCGGCGTTGAGCAGGCTCCCACAGGTCGGTCCCCTAGCTAGGCTGCGGGGTTTTCACCACTGCCGTCAAGACGCATAATGATGGTTTTATTTATGACAGGAGGCATGTTTTAAAACAGTTGTTTTAAAACAGCTGACAGAACTGTGAGGTGGGAACGACAAGAAAGTGCGATTTTTTTTTTTGGAGAGGGGAGGGGGATGGGATGCTGGCAAAGAAGAGCAGGGCTTTCCTTATTGAAGTTGGAATTCATCCTTTATTCCTCGAGCAGATAAAGGAAATCATCCGGGAAGGAAGTAGGGGCGAGGGCACTGTATAATGACAGTTCTCAGAGACTTGGGCAATTAGCTGCTGGCTGGCTTGCACTGCCTCTTGTTGGGACCTTTCAAAGGAGAGAATACAGTAGAAGAGTGTCAGGCAGTGAGGGGGTCGTGTGTGTGTGTGTGTGTGTGTGTGTGTGTGTGTGTGTGTGTGTGTGTGTGTGTGTGAAGGCCAGCCTCATATCTCCATGTGAATGCAGGCGTCAGCTCTGCAGAATTCTGGGAACTTTAGAGCTGTGCCTTCCACATGATGCTTCCCAGACTAGGCCAAGCACGCAAGACAGACACCCTCAGGATGGCGAGGGAACAGAAAACAGATGGCTCATTGAGGACCCTGTGTGCTAGGGAAGGGAAATACAGCCTTTTCAGACTCTGCTTAAAGAAAACCAGCTTTGCTATGGCCAGCCAATGGGAGTCCTTTTTTCCCCTATAGCCTTTCTTTCCTGACAGTCTGGGGGGAAATTACAGAGGAGCCCTTACTGACTTATCGTTGTTTACCTCTGCAGGACAGAGGGATAGCAAATATCAAGAATACCCAAGAAAGTTAGGAAAAAGAACTCAGGAAAAAAAAAATAATAAAGCTAATGTCTCCATTGTGATGATTAAATAAATAAATAGGTAAATAAATTCAAAACATCCCTAGAGGGGATGATAGGACCCAGGGTTTGGAGAGGAATTTGAGCATTCCTAGTACCTCTACCAGAACTCTGTTTCTTGTGGGTTGGGATGAACCGGAAGCTGCAGCTCCCACGGAACGATCTCTGCTGTCTCCCTCTTGGTTTATGGTGTGAATCAGGCTGACCCAGGACACACTCGACAAATTTGACTCGTGCATCTCGTCCCAGAAGAGCCACAGTTCAGCCTTGGGTGGCGAAGGCACACAGTGTGCTTGGGAACCATGTTTGGTGACCTCGGTTCACGTCAGGGCAGCATGGGTAATTCAAGCAGTTGGCCAGCTCCTTCCTTGCGGACACAGACTCAGACCTTCGCACACCCTCCCCCCATTTCTCTCTGCAAGCCGAGCAGGAGATTCATTGCTCATACCCGGGCACTTTGTGCCAAGTAGGAGCGTGTTAATATCCCCCTCCCACCCCTTGGGAATTGGATTACTTAACACATCTTTTTGGAGATGTCAGCAATGTAATAGAGGCAATAAGTCAGGGCTGCCCTTGTGTTTTATTTTTCTGCCAGTATTTAGTTAATTAAAGAATGCAAATTAAAACACCTTAATTTATATAATATCAATATCAACGCCTTAAAACATTTGGCATAACTGTGCTGGCACGTCCCTTACATAAACTCTTCAGAGCGGTACTAATAAAAATGAAAAGGGCTGTAAATCAAGTTTAATTTATTCATTTTTGTTTGGTATGAAAGCATATGCCCAAACCAGGTTATTTATGAGTGTGTAATAACAATAGGTATATATATGTATATTTTACCGGTTACAAATGAAAAAAAAAAAAGGTTTTCAATGGGATATGGGTTTTAATTTTGAATTATCTCAAAGTACATCTAGGCTCTGATCTCTAAAATTTATATTTTTTTCTTTCCCATCTATAGTCAAAAATAGATTTAGATATTGAAAAACATATCCAACTTAAAAACATAGCACCGTGTGCTCAGAAAGCCACCGGCAACCACGTGTGAGATAGAAACATGCACAATGCATCCTGTGGTATATGAGCCGCAGGTGAGATAAAAAGGCTGCAGATATGCATCTGGCTTCTCAAATATTCCATTAAGAGATTACCTCACGGAGGGCTCCGACTTAAACAGCATCAGAAGGGATTTGGTGTGTGGTTGCTTTCTCGGGAGCCGTAGGGATGAACTACGTCGTCTACATGAATGAAGTGCCAGACATTGTGTTTCATCTTTTCCTCTTTGGCCGACATCGCTTGCTCGGTATGGTGGATCCGAGCCTGGGCCTTTTTGGTTCAGCCCCAGAAGAGCAGCAGGCTCTATTCCTGGGTACCAAGTGGTGGCATGCTCGCCCTCTTTCCTTAGACACAGCTCCCTCGCACGGCTGTTTCTACCCCTGCCGCATCCGACCTTCAGTTCAAACTTCACTCAAACAGACCTGTCTCAGCACATGGGGTGAGGTGACCAAGGCTCCACCATCTTGCCCTCATTCCATTTTTTTTTTTTTTCTGCTTAGGCACTATTTGCAAGGCCCTAGCCCCCGAGCAGTCATGTCTACCTTGGTAACACATTCAAGACTTTCCCTGACTCCGAC